CTTTCCCAGTTGAGATATCTTGGCGGCTTGCACTATATTACCTCTGGTTAATTGATATTACAAAGATGGCAGCATAAGTAAGTTGGACAGAGATTGTGTGTACCTTTTGAGGAGCCACTCAGTTCGAAGTTGGAGTCTTGCAGCTCGGCGATCCGATCTCTCAGATCATGTTCAGTTTTCCTAGCAAGCTCCCTAGCTTCGTGCAGCTGGTTTCTGGTAGCTTCAAGGGTTCCAAGGTGGGGAACTAACCTCTCAAGAGTTGCAGTTTTCGCTTCGTTCCTGAGATGGATTCTCTGCAATACAATTTTATCGGCATTTAAGCTAAGTGGCAAACAGGATGGTTGAGGCCGTGCATGAGGGAACTTACGTTTACGATACGAGTAGCCTGGCTGAGTGCCTTTTTCAGCAGGCATACTTCATCATCTTCTTTTTACTTGTTTATCACGATTCCCTGAGGTTGCATATCGTCATCCCACCACTTGACCAGAATGGGAGGGCGAGAATCTTCAGCTGCTCGTATCCGGAGGACCTCTTCTTCATCACCAATCATTGACCCTTGTATATTCATAAAGGTGAAACAATCGAATAAAGTCTGTTAGACCAAAATGATTTCAGAGAATGTATTTACCTGTGATGATTTTCGGTTGGGGACGAGTAGACTCTTGTGTTTTAATAGGAGAGCTGGACCCTGGGTCATTACTGGTATCCTTTCTAAGAGGGCTGTCCGCTTGGGTTTCAACTTCAGGGACATCTCGGTTTGGTTCTGTGCCCGACTAGTTTCCAGTCGGGGGCTCCTGATTAACCCCGATTTCAGCTTCGGCCGACTGGTTTCCAGTCGGGGGCTCGTCGCTGGGTATTACATTGTCGGTTGTCGGCTGATTGTCACTTGGGTGATCTTCTGTGGTTGGCTCGGTCTCTTTTGAAGGACCCGTCTCTATGTCAATTGGTTTAGAATCTTTTCCAGAAGGATCTATGTCAGATGGCTTCCTACAAGTTTGAGTTACGCCATTATTATTATTTCAATAGTGGGTGAGCAGCGCTACGAGGGAGACAGTCAAACGATTCGTACCTAGAAGATTTCCTGATCTTCGGCATTGGACGATTGGATGTTTTCTTCTTAGGGTTGGATTGCTTTGGCAGTTTTCTTGTCGCCTCTTTATTGCTGGATTTTCCAGCATCATCGCCTTCGTCATCACTCAGGACCAATTTCCTCTTGCACGAGTCCGATTGGATGGTTGATCTTGAGATGTTTGATTGAGTTTCAGACCTGATTTTTGGTCCTCCGCTTGCCTGACCAGTCTGTCGGCGAGGTGATCGGCGTTGGGTAATTGGAGGGTCTGATTTCATCAAGGCGAATTCCTGGGTATGATGATTCAAGCTTTTTATCAACCTTGCAAATGATAAAAGAATGCTTAGAAACGAGCTGGGATTTTAAATACATACCGGTGGAGGGGGATTGAAGCCATTGTATGGCACCACAGGCAGCAAGTGCGAATAGCTGACTACAATTGCATTTGAGAAGATTTTATACATCCTCTCCTTCATGACCTTGAATTCAAGAGATTCAGGATCTTCACAGTTAGGGTCATGTTTGCCGTCGAATTCAAAGGCTGTGCGAGATCTTTCTTTGATCGGGGCTAACCGGCTCTTGATGAAGTGCCGAGTGATTTGTTCTCCCTGTAGACCTTGCTCCTTTAGCTTCAGCATGCGATCCATCAGGGCGAGCACTTGGGCGGCTTCTTCTCCCATTGGAAGTGAATTCCAGGTGCCTTGATAAACTGGAGGGAGACAGGAGTACTCGGGGAATGCAGGCTCGGGGTTTTGTACATAAAACCAATTTGCATGCCAGCCTTTGTTTGAAGTTTTAAACGGCATGGAGAAGTACTTTTGGCTCAGAGTTCCCCTCAGTTGGAATCCAGCTCCCCCAACTACGCATGGCTTGCTTTTGTTCGGTTGGGGTTTGAGGAAGAAGATGTGACGGAATAGGGAAAAATGTGGCCTAATGCCCAAAAAGCTTCACAGGCGTGTATGAAGTTGGCAATATGAACTATGGAGTTTGGGTTTAGGTGATGTAAACTGATCCCATAGAAGTCCAGAATTCCCCGGAAGAACCTTGATGTTGGAAGAGAAAATCCGCCATAAAAGAAATGAGAAAATACCACGGCTTCATGAGTGTCGGGGGTCGGGAATGCCTCGCCGAATGCCGGACGCCATCCAATGATCTCCTTCGCTGGAAGAACACCGTGCGCCACCATCTCCTTCAGGTTTTCCTTCGTTACATCGGAGGGCGCCCATTGGCTCTCGAAGCTTTCTCTCTCCTCCGCCATGGATGCGAATTGGGTGATGCGATTTGCTTTGGAAATGGCTGAAGAATGGATGGGGAATGGATGTGGTGGGTGCGTGGATGATTTTTTGTGGAATTTTGGAAGGTGAATTTGAGCAAATTGGAGAACCCTAGTTCCGCGGGAGTGGTTTTGTACTGTAGCGTGAAATGGGGAAAATGGCGAGAGTCTCAGCGAGGAAGACGAAGCGACGCTTTGACTTCGGCGTTTATTTCGCTAGGGTATCGGGAGTGCTAATGGGCCTGGGCCTATACAGTACTTCAGCCCAATTCTATTATCAGCGTGACTAGTTGTGATCCTTAGGGACTTAGGCATTTTTGCTTTGGCAATTTTTGCTCACAACAGTATGGCCCGATGCTGTTAAAATCCTTTTTAATGCAGTTAGATGATTCTTTGGAATCACTACGATGCGAACAAAAAGGTACCCAACAGAAAAGTGTTATACTAATTTTGTAAGTCTTCTTAGGCTGCAAAAGCTGTTCAGGTTTGTTGAGATAACTGGTTTTTGATCAGTTATTTACTCGGCATGCTTATTCTTCTGGTGTGAGTCATAGCCTAGGCTATTTAGACTTATCACTAATTATGTTATCACATTTGTATCACATTTGATGGATATTTTTGAGAATTTTTACTCGGATTCTTGTCAAATGTGTGAATTTATGGACCTTAGGAGTGTTTATCACTCGGGCCTTTCCATATTTTCATTTTTGGTATATTAAAACTAAAAGCAGTCGGCTAGATGTTTTATTGAACGCCGCATATGCCTTGCTATATGATATTCAGTTGTAAAACCACTTGGTTCTTGACTATATGTTTAGTTTTTTAACTAACCACATAGTCGGGGGCTACACCTAATTCGGTGCATCTAGTCGATGCACTCGGTATTTTCTATTTTAGACCTTCACAGTCTTTGATTTTGGTACTCGGAGATCTATACAGAAGAAATTGAAGCACTCGGATTATTACTTTATGTTTCAAGAGAAGGCCATTTCATCGACTGTAAAGGTCTTGGGGGCTACTGTGGAGATTATGGATACCCCATATCTACACGGCATGTATAGTCCGACTAGGTACAGGGTACCATATATAGATAGAATATCTTTAAGAGGACTCGGGATAGGTCTAAACTTGTATGTCAAGGAAATATCCGAGATCCTAGTCGGTTACGATTGTATCTTATCTGTAATTACATATTCCGTTAGGTATATGGACTGTATTTAGTAATACGGACCTCTTCCCCTATATAAGGAGGGGTCCGGGTCCCTCTAGGGATACGTTTTTTCTCCCAGATCATACGATCAATAATACACTCGGCGGATCAATCCCCGGACAGGAGTAGGGTATTACTTCTTGATTAAGAAGGCCTGAACCTGTATAAAATTCCTTGTTTCTAAACCCATCCACTTTTCCAACTTGATAGCCACCCCCTTTTAGTATTGCCGAAATCTTGTTTCGACACTATGGCTTGATTTACACTATTTGATCTAGCTATCAGTTCAAGTGGATACAATCCTATTGTCATCCTTTCACCACAATCAGTAGTTTTGAGAAGTTAATTTCTTTGCATACACTGATGAACTCTGTAGTAGATTCTCTGCAGGTTCTTTCTTGCTCAATTAATTATTGCTCACTCTATAGCAGATCAACTCTGGATTTAGACTTCTTTGGCCAAGCACTATGGCTAAAATTGCATGCCAAGCTTCGAACAGAAAGGTCAAGCAATTTTTCCAACCACGGTGCAGCATGTGGCAATGGCACTAACACTAATTTCTATCATATGTAGGCAGATCCAAGTTGATGCTGGCATAGGCTTTGGTGAATCACTGATGGGTGAGAGACCTGCAGATTTCCTTGTCCAACAGAGCAATGGCTGAGTTCTTTCAGTTGTGGGATGAAATTCAGATGGTGCAGCTTCAACCAGGAATAGCCACGACTCCATTCGGTGGTAGCTAACAGGTGATGGCCAGTTTACTTTCTCATCGGCTTACAACCTCTTCTTCATGGCAAAGACCAAATGTTTATATGGTGAACTGCATAATTTCGATTCTTTCTGTTCATGCTGATCTGTTGGTTAATCTGGAAAGACGAAACGCTTGGGTATTTGAGCAGAGGTCTAGACCTACAGAGCAATTATTTGGAGACATCAAGGAGATCACGATTTGGAAGTCGGCTAGCATTTTTTATCCTACAGTGATTATTTATTAGTGTTAGTTGTTTATTGTGGTCTGAGGCTTTGCCTCATACCTTTGTTCGACAGCATAGTACTTTGTACTTTGTTTCTCCCTAATCCTTTGGCCAACCTGGCCAATCATTTCAGTAGTAAAAAAATGTGTTTTCCTGGTCAGATTGATATATATATGATTTCTACTAGGCTGAAACTCTTGGCTTGGAGAAACTTTGTTGCATACTATAGCAGGAGCTGCAGCGGATTGAAAATTGATGGCATCAAAGGTTCTTACTAATACAAGCAATAAGTTGTCAAAGAATCATTGTTTGAATTTGTTGTACCAAAATTCCAATCACACTTAGTGGCTAATCTTTTTATTTTGACTAAACTAATGCCACATGTTAGCAGCAGTAGCAGAATTTTTTTATTTTGGTTTCAGGTTTTAGAACTGATGTTATTTGTTGCTCCAAATAATCCACTGATATTGTCAAGTGGGAGCTATTTGACTTGTGTGGCTAGAAGTATTCGAGTCAATCATCTGCTTGCCTCGGCCTACTTCAATAGACAACGGAGGATGCTCTACATCATAATCGTATGCAAAGACAGGTAATACACACCATATTTCCCTTCATTTGCAAAGTCGTAATAAACTGAATAAGAACAGGTACCACATTCATATTTGTCTGATAGATCTCAAATCCATATATTGCTAATGGTCTACTTCTCAACTTGGTTTTTACACCTCAATGCTTGTTCTGTATTCCGTTTGTCACACATTTTATCAATGAATTACAGTTCTTTGAAATTGGATCATGACTTCCAACTTGCAGCAACTAATTGCATTGTATCACACGTTCATTACAAGATACTCAAAGCAAAAATGGCAATATGTTGGTTAGCAGCTTGTACTTGCAATGAGTAAGAGCATAGAGGTTCTGGACTTACAATCTGAGGTCAGGATCATGTTCCATATATTTTTACATAGAACACTATTGCATGAATTGTACTATTTGTAGATGTTCTATAGTTAATCAACTATGTTACCTTAAATATACATGGTGTGTTTTAGATTCTGAAATGTTTAGCAAACTTAGTCAACATGTAGATTAACTATCACAATTTATGTCACTTTTTCATATCTAGCGAACTTATCTAACTTTTTTTTCAGGTTACAAAAAATGCAGGAAAAACGTTTAGGCTGTCGAAGCAAATCCATCAGGAGGACACCCTGGCATCTGATGTTGTCTACTATGCATCAAAGAGATTACTGGTTGTTTCTACTCCTTCTTTTTGAATGAGATAATTTACGTTAATATAATGTTTTCATAGAAGTGAGCCAATCTTGATTTGTTTGGTTAACACAAGTTATGTGTTAAACGTGTGATCCAATAGTATGGCTTTGTCATGTTCTCTTATTAGCTAATTGTAAGTCCTTAGCAGCTGGAATGCTGGATCATGACTAACAAGTGAAAAGGATCAGTGATAGTTTTATGCTGGTGCAGACATGCAATGCCAAATAAAACATGGATAATTCCTTCTTGTTTGTGCATAATTAATTGTTTGTGCAGGCTTCTTAGCACTCAATAATTTATCTTTTCGAAGTTTCTATAGTTGTTGCTCATATACAAGGGATAATTTTGTTGCTCAGTCTCATAAGGACAGCTCACTACCTATCCATCTAAAATCTGATTACACATTTGCCCATTAAATTCTACTATGCACAACAAGAAGCCACGATTGTGCTCTTAATTCAAATCTGAATTTGTTAGAACATATTATTGGCGTATGTTGTCGAAACGACAACTGCATACGTCGAAAGACGTGGTTACCCAACAGTGGTTGGAAAAGAAGTAAAGTGTATTAAATTGGGAATTTTTCTTGGGATCCCCCTATTACATGGCCCTAGGAGACTATTTATAGCCTCATTACAGGTTCTTACTACTAGGGTTTAGGTTACACAGGGGAATTTACATGGTTGCCCTTACGAAAGGGACATTTATATGGGCATATAGTGTAATTGAGGTATGTGGGCTCCTAATGGGCCGCCAGGCGATCGCTAGCCCAATGGCCACTGGGCTTGAGAAGCTAGGATGGTCTCATCTGCCTTAGCAAGGCCAAACTTGCTATGGCGAAGTCGTCTCCCTTCGGTATACACGCTTCGCCTTATATCCTTCGCCCAAGAGGCCTTTGGCTTCGCGAGGTACCCGCGCGATTCTCCGTCCTTCGCCTTCCTTTCTCCATAGTCTTCGCCATGGGTGCTTCGCCCCGACTAATCTTGACGTCTCAGGCTTGAATCCCCGCTGGTCTCATGGTTTCGGTAGGTTTGGTCGAAGGGCCTCATGTCATACTGCCAACAACGTGTAACCACATAAATAAATCCAAAGTATATATAATATTTTTGTTTCCCCATTTCAAGGTCTATATGATTTTACTTATTTGGTTTTGGTCCGCATACTGGTAGTACGCCTGAGAGTGGTTATGTTGATGACTGTTAAGAGAATGACAAGTCAATATCTTGCTTTGATACCTTTTTTTTTGCATTTTTGATTTAGCTAAAAATAACTATGTACTGGTAATGGTTATTTTTATTGTTACAAATTCCAATTACATGAGGATATGTTTTATAAATTTTGGGTAAATAGGTTGTGCTTCAGAAGGTGTAGTTTCTAAAATTTTTAGTGTAATTATGTACTCGGGTGACATATTTTGCCAAAAACGTGTATTGCACATGCACGATTATTAGTAAAGGCTAAGACAAGGAGATGTGCACGCAGTGATGATTAATGCCCGATCATTAATCGACTGGGCACAGAAAAAGCTAGCTTTCTTTCCGATCAAGCTTACTATAGGCTGACATAGTGATATCACCCTCTATTTTACCTTGGTCGCTGAGGGCCTTATGTGGAAAAGGATATTAACTATTCCCTCAGTTTTTTTAATAGTTGACTCTATTAACTTTTGATACGACATTCCACCATTCTTTCTATAAAAATATATATATCTCATTTATTTAAAAGTATATAATGTTATTTATTTTGCTGAGACATGTTTTATAACTAAATTTCGTAGAAAACCTATAAGCTGATGTCCATTACTGTACTTCAGAGTTCCGAATATTTACACTACTTTTTTTAATAAAATGATTAGTCAAATATTATTCTAAAGGTTAACAACGTCATCCATTAAAAGTAGAGGTAGCCATAGTTGAGTCCGATGCACGAACAGAGACTCATCTATATGGTTGATCACCTCATCTATAATTTACACAGGTACCGCTGAATTTGCATCTTCTATTCAACACATTCTCAGATATGTCAAACATGCATGTTCTTTGTGTCTAATTCAAGACATCCATGAATTTGTTTTATTTTGATTGAAATAATAGATTATTTTACTATATACCTATTGAATATCTGTTTTGTCATAACTCATAAGTGCATTGTCAAAGCAATCAGGTCGATTAACATCCTAAATCTTATGCTCACTATAAAAATTTGGTTATTTGATCTTAGTCTTAAAACAAAGAATATTTTTTTCTAAATAAAAACTAACAATTAATAACTAATTTTCAGATGTGTTGACCATATTATCCATATGCATACTGTATACAGTCCATAGCATGCATATTGTTGATATTAATGTCGTTGGATTTTTATAAGATTTATTGCGACGGTATATTGTATTAAGAATTCATGTTAAACAGAACATGCCATAGCCAGAAGATACCGAGGACTATTCAGGATTTGTTTTTTTTCTAAAACTCAGAATTAATAGATATAGAGTTGTATCCGTTTGGACTTTATCAATTTAATTTCTAAATACCAAACTGATAATTGTAAATTGCAACTGACATGTATGGAATCTTTTTTCATCCAAAACCCTATAATTTGTAAATAATTTTGAATTCATATATATGGAGTACCAATCTTGGATTCTCAATTTAGATCCCTATTAATTTAAGAGTAAATTTCACGTGACATCAGGTATTATGGTCTAAGTTGCACAAAACCTCAGGAGTTCTAGCACGTGGCACATAACCTCAGGTATTATGACCAAAAAGTTTCACAAAACCACGTTATTGCTCATTTCGACATTGATTTACAATATTTTTAGTTCTACCATCACATCTCAAATTTATAAGTTATTTATCCATCATATAAATGTTAGATTCATGCAAGTAAATCTTTTTAAAATTTTGTTATAGGAGTAAGTCAATTTGGTTAACGGTGTGATTTTGTGAAACTTTAGGACCATAATATGTGAGGTTATGTGCAACACGCCAACATCTATGTGGTTTTGTGCAACTTGGACCATAATAGGTTGTAAATGACATGGAATCTTTTTTTATTCTAAGCCACTATAAATAACCAATAACCAACATATGTAACATAAAAAAATTATATGTAATAATAGCAGTAATAACAACAACGGCTAGTTTTTTTAATTGCTGATGGCTAAATACCTTAATGACTTTTTGATAATTATTAGAGGGTAGAATAAATTAAATATAATAAATTCCAAAACATCGGCACCGCGACCCATGTGTTTGTGGGCAGCAGCCCGTCTGCAACAGAGCCCACTAGGCCACTACCACGGCACCACAGCGCCACCACTGCACAACAACAAAGACAAAGGCCGATACCAACTAGGGTCCTGCGGGCCTAGGTTTGACGGAGATTTTTCTGATCATATTAGAGGAGTCCCAATTCAAAAAAAAATTTATTCATAATTATATGACTATAATCAGTTTTTTTTAAAACATATTTCAAATCCAGACATTTATAACGCGCGCCTACTCAACCTTATAAATACGTGCATGAATAACCTACTCATATGAGCATCTATGAAAGATTACACCACCGTATTCCTATGAGCACGGAATAGGTTAAAATTGATGAAGTCACCATAGACATCTCGCTATCAGCGGAAAAAAATAATTTGACGTAAATACAAGCGCGCATATCAAGTCTAGAACATAAATCCGGGGTGAGTTAGTTCCACCATAAGAAATATAACCAATTAAGGTACGCTCACTATGTATAATCAATTTTTTAGGGATGATTATAATCAGTTGATCCTCAAGAACACATGATTTCTTGTGGGACATCCCTCTGATTGCCCATTCCTTACTAGCAAGCGTGTTTTTTTTTTATCTTGAAGTACTTTTTCTCACACAAAATATGATACATGTTTTGCACCATGGAGGTATATATATTAAGCTTCAATAATGTCGTCAAAAGGGGGCCAAACGATATCCAATGCCTGAGTAAGATGCGAAGTCCTAAAATTATTTACAGGTCCTCCATATATATATCCTCACCCATACATGACAGCTACCTCTCTCATCCATACGCCTTCCTTTCTTTCCCTCTCGTTTTTGTTTTCTCATTCTTAAACAATCAAGAATTTTTTTTATAACATAAACATGCCAGACAGCAAACTATTAGTATTCCTAGACTGCTAGGTGCATATCAGTGTTTCATGAACATTGTTTTCTTAACATAATACATACATATCAGAAATATATGTTGGCTTGGGAGACATCGGAAAAGAAATGGGTACTTAGTAGAAACAGACATGGGCTCTGGAGCATGGACGGATCTGTGAAATAGAGCGAAGCCGTTCTAAGGGATTCATTCCATCCCAGTTATGAAATACTCAGCAGTATGGACTATCTGGAAAGCAAGAAATGCTGATTGCTTCAAGAACACCTTGTCTGATTATACCATAGACATAATTCTCAAGGTTTGTAATTGGATCACAATGTGGGCTGCTTTACATAGCTAATTGTTAAGGGATGTCTGCGGGGAGTCATGCTTCTAATTAAAACAGATGGTAAGTGGGATGGTAACTAGAGGAGAGAAGGGTAGCTTTTGTTTAGATGATCTGAGCCTGCGTGTTGCCGTGTTCCATGTGTTTTTTGGTCTTAAATGTTTCTTCCTGTCTGCAAACTTTGTGGAAACCTGTATGGCTATAATGGAAATGGGGGAGGCCTCGTCCAATCTTTCTCATCAAAAAAGAAGAATTCTGAACCAATGCACACTTTGATGATCGATGATGTCCCTGACTTGATCATGAACAAAGCTTTTTTTTACCATGTACCTCCTAGCTATGTTTGCGCATATGTTTCATTTGACAAGTTTGGACAACTTCATTGAGCATGACATTTTTCATGTTCCCATGTGTTCGATCTAATAAACTAGGATAAGTTTATCGAATACCAAATCATCCATGTCATGATAAGAGCTGGGACGACTTCATTGAGCTTGATCTCTTGATTTTCCTATGCATTGGATTTGATAAATTATGATGAGTTTATCGAGCGCAAAATAAGGCAATCCCTTAGCCTGAGAAAAAACGCCCTCAAGCAAGGTAGCAAGAATGTCGCCTGTAAAATTATCGCATGTCCGTTTGTGTGGGCTGATGGCTGTTTGCCACGTCATAGAATACGTCATGTGTAGGAGGGTGTAAAATAAACCTCAAAACTTGAAAACGAAAATGTACTGAATATTTAAAAAAGTAAATATAAAATAAAAGAATTTCCTTGACCCA